CTTCTTCATATGGCAAGACTGCGAAAGACATCTATATTCTCTATCACTGGACCTAAAAATCTCGGGCCTTGTTGTATGCTCTTTCGTGAGATGAGAGGGCGGCTGGTAATTACACCCCCATCGTTGACGTATATAGACATCACTGACAATGCTGCAGCTGCACGAAGTGCCCTCTAGAGAGACAAAGTTCATTGCCACTCTGGACAAGCGCCCCTGTATCTGGCCAAAAGGAACTCACTTGGGGCCACAACGCAGCAAGTTCCTCAATTGGTTCGTCTTCCAGCTTCCATTACAGACGATACATTCAGACTTTGACACAGCTAACGGTATACTTAGTCGAAACTAATTTGACGCAATAGTATTGTGGATGATATCAACTCGGTGTTCATGGGGTTCTACACCACGAAGCCACTCAAGTCGAAGGCTGTAGAGCTGACCAGAAAACCCACGCTTCCTAAGCGGTCCTGCCACCTCGATCGACAGTGGCACCCCGGGAGTCCGGCGTGGCCTTGGTTCAGATGACGGATGATTGCACTGACTTCACCGGCTATATCCACGAAGGCGCAAGAGCAGTACCTTCTACATCGTACGATGCCGCAGCCTAAATAGCCGGATACTTCTTCAATATGCGGAGTACACTCTCCGGAAGGCTCGAACTTTTGCCGATATATAGAGTTATCAGAGTTGACTTCGGAACCACAAGTACGTTACTGTATCGCGCTCAATGCTCACTCACTTGCTAACCAGGTGGCCCATGGAAACAGTGGGACCTGGGACAATATAGTGTCACACCGGGTTTCCTTTCGTCGCAATGACACACATGCCCAGTACAAGAATACCCATTCTGCGCGAGTTCGCTATTTCCTCACCAGAGGGCGTGAGAGCAGCAGCAAATCCGGGGTCTGATCTTGCGGTATGCTAGATGCAGAAATCCACGATAATCAAATGTCCGCATTCTCAGATCCGGAGCACAGAAGTTTGCTCCGTCTGATGATGAATGGTGGATAAGACGGAATCACCGATAAGAACCCCAACTTTTATCGGAGCCGACAGAAGGAGTGAGCTTCAACCTGAAAGAGAACAGACGGGCAGTTTGAGCACGGGCCCTATCGTAACCATCAAGCGAGGGCAAAGGGTTTTGCAAGGGGCTCTAGAACTCTCCAAGATCACGATGCAAGAGGCTTCGGAGCTGGTTGCTTTGGTCAACCATTATCAAAGGCTGACGGCTTTCATGCGAGCTAGTATATGGCTGGATGATGATGCTGCAGTGACCTGACGTCGTTGCCAAAGGCTGGCTTCGCTGGCGGTTTGCCATAATATATGGGTCGGAAGCGCAATCTGAATGACCCTCCACTGGTAGACCATGGATTAAGCCCATTTTAAGCGTTGCTGGTGGAGAACATACAATGGCTCCTGCTATCGCATTCTATCTCAACAGCACATGCTATTCGCATGGCATGAGCGTCCTTGCATCCACTGGTCGTCTTAACCAGTTCAAACTACTCCATTCAGCTTATCCTGGGGCCAAATCACGTTTTTTCTTTTTAAAGTTCGCACGCCAATGCACCCTACGCCACCAGCGAATACATACTTCAGCTACAGAATGTTCGTCTGGCAGGAAGTATTCAATTCATTGCAACACACGACCTTTTATTGCAACACCGTGAAGCAACACCAAATGAGAGACGGCGGAACGAATCACGAAGCGCCTCAGAGTAGCATGGTTCAAGCTGCTCTTGGACTGTGTGTATAAGTTTAGGCGCCAATCCAATGGCCCAATACACCCACAAGACCTGACCTTCTTGTACTCAATATCATGTGTGTGCCACCTGAGTGAAACAACATGAGGAGTTCAATCGTCTCGGCCTCTTGTCTGGAATACACTCTTGTCTGGAATACACTATAAAAATGATGGGCTGTGTGTGTCTCTGCTCTGAGTAGCTTGGATAGGATCGCTGATCCATTGTCTGCTTGATTTGAGAGGGTGTCAAACCAACGCTCCAGAAACCTCAAGCTATGATCTTCTCAGCCGAACCAGGCTCGTCCGATCCTTCCGTTCGAACCACTAATCCTTGGACCCGATGATAGGTTCGACGACTCCGCCATACGAGTTCCTGGGTGATGCAGAAGACACCACGGTTGGCACCCAGATGCGGCTGTACGCCGTCCGCCAGCACGGATTTCAGTCGTATTTGGATCTCAAAATCCAAGTGCTCTCGGAACTTTCTTCTTGTGTCCCAAGACCGCAGAGCATGACCAGTTACCTTTTTGTTTCGTTCTTATCTCATATGGATGATACTGAGGTATGGTCTGGCTGCGCGTGATCTCCGAGGATGTCTGGGCGATACTGCTAAATGGCTGTGCATATGAGTTGAAGATGGGATTTCAAACCTGATACACTTCAAAGCCATGATGCTTCGGGGCATATAAGACATTTCTTACAATGTCTCTCCTAAGCCATCTGAGCGTGACCAAATAAGTCTTTCGGCTGTGGACATGCCCTTCCTTGACCACGAGATAGACGGTTGGCTCTGTGTATGGGTGGGGGTGTGTACATCTTTTCCATGCACGGGGAATACTGTTCAAACCTCTACCGTCCTCTTCTATTGCGCCTTGTCCAATTCAATGGCGAGTAGACAGCAGCGGGTGTACGCGATTCCGGGGCAGTCTGCAGCCCGTCTACATATGACAAGAAACAACACAAGGTGATGGGGTTATGGTGGGAGGATACACAAAAGACAGCGAATCGACATTCTTGTCGAAACAGACTGGTCTTTGTGGAACTGGGAAGAACATTCCTTCTCAGATTTCCAAACGAGGATACACAAAATGATCATTGCTACGAAAATGCTTACATCTTACATTCTCCGGGTCTCATTACCCTCATGAGTGATGACATATTTTCTTCTTCTTTCATCCAACTTGCGAAATAGCAGCTTTGATGATCAGAGAGTTACAAGGAGAAGAGCATATTGCATAACCACTCATGAAAGGAACTGTATATATCAGTTGGAGAAAGTGTCAAACCAACGACAACCTTTCCGCGCAACAGCTTGCGGACATACTCGTCAAGGATCAAATGTGGGCTTTTCAAGCACCCAGGTCAGACAAAGCTCTGCAGGAAGTCTCGCATAATACCTATTTCGTGTTCAGGATGAGGCCAAACTCCAGGCTATCAATTTATCATGATGAAGAACTGCAAACAGCATGGAAGAGGTGTTAAACCAGCTAGTATGTGAAAAGAGATGGATACGCAGCATTCCCACACACCACTGAGGATACACGATATACTTCGGCAAATACAGGGGAAGATTCTGTCTATACCCTTTCAGTATCTCTGATACCACCTTTCCTTGCGATCTTTCCCCCATGTCGTGAGCAAATGGCATGGATTATGATCCGTGGCTCGAAATATATGACAGTGTTGGATATCATTACTTATCCTGGAGAAGAACCCGATCGCTTATTATACCGCATGGGCAGGAATGTCATCATTACCTTTCTTTTCTATATGTTGCTGCTAGTATGATGTTGCTGCAACTTTCGGACACTTCAAGATTGACGAAACCCTTATTATAGGGAAGGCAGGGATTGAAAACATTATTCTGGGTTCCTGGTCAATGAATTTGGATTTGGTATGTGGGTGTGTATGACGAGCCCACTCATGACCAATCTTTCTAATACACAGCCACCCTCTGCCCTACCGTCGTGACCTGTCTATTATCTTATAAGCACAAGTGAACTCTACACTGAAACTTCGGGGAATTGATCGTCAAGACAGATGTGTACTTCCGGATGATCTGACTATTATCAAAACATCGTTCCTGATAAAAGAAAAATGTGATATATATACATCACTTCATGACTGATCCAGACCTACATTCTCTGGGCGGTTTGCTTCCCTTTCCATTTTAAATTTTGATCGTACCCTCCTGATGAAAGTCACAGATTGATCAAGGAATCTCATCTAGTTGCGTGGGACCGGAGGATTGAAGTGGAACAGTTCTCAATGTTATAATATCTTCTTTACTTGGGGATTTCTTGGTGTATCTTTTCTTTCCTCTTCTCATGGTTTTGTTATGCCTTTAGCTTTTTCAAGCCGTCTCCGAAATTCATTTTACTCCTTTGGATGTGTGCCAGTTGAGCATTTCAATAGGCGAAGTGGTTTTAGGATATCAGAGTCGGGGATAGCTTGGATGGATTGTGAGTGTAATTGGTTGTGATATGTTGGGTTGGGTTGGTGTCGCTCTGGTACTATCTTTGTGTGTGGAAGCAAAAGCTGGGGGTTATAGTAGAGAATAATCCTATGGGGAGAGGGGGATGTCGGGGATGAAGATGGGGTTTGATACATTACACTCACGCAATTATACATATGTGACTTGGGGGGTCTAAGTGGGTCGATTTTATGTATTGCATACAAATGACGATGTACCAGTCAGGATAGATGGTACTGGGTATATCACTTCATTCGCTCTAATTAATATATTTAATAAGTATCTGAAATGTTGGTTATTAAGTAAGTCTACCGAATGGTTTAAGGTTTTAACTTGGCCTCATTAAATAAGTAGTTACTAGTTATAGCCTTTCGTCTTTCGTCTATTGGTCGCTTGCGAGGGTTCTGAGATACGACTGCATGCAAATACCTTCTCTACAAGTGAGATCAAGAATGTGGATGTACGCTGTCATCGGCAAAATCAATAGCTTATGCCAAGCTTGAAAGGTATCTCTACTTTTGCTGGATTGCACACGCTCAAAAGGGGATAGTATAAATCCACCTCATGTGACTGACTCAAGCAAACAAGCATAAACAGACAAACAAAGTGGGAATAGGGGTAGAAGGTAAGAAAAGAGAAGAAGAGACAAAAGAAGTGTCAATCCAATGACAAAAGTAAGCCAAGCCAACACAAACAATACGAGAAAAACTAACAAAGAAATAACGCCCTGCTCAATCCAATGCGATCGTAATCGTAAATCAGCTTACAGCTGTAGTCATCCAACCCTCACAACCCCCGTAACAAACTCCCCTCTGCGAACGGGTTGTCCGGCGACATATCCAACATGGGTTTCGCGGCATTGCGATCCCCCGTTGCCACGCCATGGCCGACCGGAGACCCTTGGATATTTTGGTGTGGTGTGGATCGTGCCAACAAACTGTTAGGGATGAACGGGCCGTCTTGGCTGCGCAGATTCTCCCCGTCGGTTGGCGTGGTCGGAGCGGTATGATGATATCGCTGTTGGTTGTTGATACTGCGGGCAGTGTTGGACCGATTGCGGGTGCGGACCTCCGGCATGGGCGGTTCAGGCGGCACCTGCGGTCTTCGCCAGGTGGTGGCGGAGGGTATTTGGATTCCGCCTGGGGCTTCGGGCCCCGTGGCGGCGTCGATTAGGGGCAGTCCTGGTTCCACGGCAATGCCGCGGCCTTTGCGGATGTGTTGTGGGGGCTCTTGGTAGACCGGGGTTAGGTCGACGAGGGGTTTGTTTTTCATGGATTGCGTGCGTCGCATGAGGTTGGGGTCTGGGCCGTGACTGGAGGTCATGGTGTTGGTGCGGCTGGGGTGGCGGGAGCCCATGGTGCCGATCAGGCCTTGTTTAATGAGTTCTTCGTTGTCTCGTTTCTCTTGCTCCTCACGCTCTTTCAATGCGCGTTGGCGCATGGTGTAGGTTCGGCCGAGAAGGCCGGATGCTGAGAAGGGGGCTTCATCCGAGGATGAGCCTGTAGCGAGGTCGGACTCGCCGGTGAGAAGCTTGGGGAACGATGTAGGTGGAGGCCCGCGCTCGCGGGTGCTCTTTTTATGGGAGAAGAGCTCCTTGGTCTTCGTTGATTTGGCGCGTTCTAGCGCGGGTTGCGGCGGTTTCACCTCGTTGGCTGGTTCCTCAAAGGGGTTCAGCAAGGGCTTGAATGGGGCCTCATCCGGCTGCATGGCTTCTGCTTCCGCCGGCTGGCCTGCCCCCAGCTTCGTTACCAGATACCAGCTGCGCCAGGTTTGGACGGCCCGGTACCAGCCATCGGCAGTCTCGCGGTCGTTGGTCGAGAAGAAATGGACAAAATTCTCCGTCGAGAGGAACATGTTGGATTTTTGCTGGCTCTTGACAGCCTGGCAGAACTTTTTGGGCGGCTTGACATTGTTCGCGAGGTAGCTGGCGGTAGGAGAGTAGATGTCGAAATCAGAAAGGTGGCAAGCGTTGGTTGCATCTTGGGCATTCTCCTTCTTGGAGACGGTCACTTGGCCGTCGGACCGGAGGGTCACGTAGCGTTTATCCCATTTGCGAGGCCGCTGCGAGTAGTACATGTAGTAGGTCACATCCGCGGGTGGACCGAGTGATACGTTCCGCGCATCGAGCAGGGTTAGCGCATCCAGACTAGCTGCAGGGACGACAATCAGTGTGTTCTGTTCGTCGTGGGTCCAAGAATTCAGCACCTCCCGCACGTATTCGTAGCGGCGCAATGGCCGTTCCAGCCCCAGCTCCGCGAACGACTCCATCAGGATGAATTTTTCTGGGTCTACCCCGGCATCCATCTGCTCCAATGCAGTCGCGACAATGTCTTGAGCCGATGTGGAGGGAGTGATGCAGATGCGCGCAGATGATTTGCGGTATTGAACCAGCACCCGCCGCTCGCGCGCATTGACAGCCGATACCGGCGCATCAATCCCTGGGAACTGAGCAGGCACCGTGGTATCAATCGCAGGGACTGCTGACGCATCGCCGTGCACACTTCTGCGATGCGCTGGGTTGGCTGCATCACTGACCGACTGGCGCCTCGGTTCCATGCTCGCGCGACGACTCGCCGAAGCGGATCCAGTCTGGGGTTTCCGATGCTCCGATTCCTTATGGGGACGACGAACCGCATACTCCTCAACTTTGTCGGCTGATCTATCGCGCGACGCAGGTTTTGAATGAGTTATAGACACTGACTTCGCTTCGCCGCCGGTCAGCCGATCCATCGCATTCTGTCGGTGTCTTTCGCGCTCCGCCTCATCATCCTCCGGTTTTTCCTGGTGCCGCTTCTCTCGCGCGGCCAATTTGCTCGCCAGCTTGTTTCGCATTCGCACCATCTCGGCGCCCTCTGAGTCCTGAAAGTGTGGGTGAACAGGACCTCCATTGGCACTGGGCTCGACTTGCGCTTTATACGCCGGGGGAGGGGCTGGGACGGGAGGTTGTGCATCGGCATCGGCAGATTGCGCAGTGGGAGCTCTGCGACGGTATCGCGACATGCTCCTCTGAACGGAGCTGGAGCCATTGCTGGAGCCATTGGGGAGTGCTGGCTGGTGATGCGACGGCGGTGCGGAAGCGACAGGCGGGATGGGCAGCGGCGGGGGCAGGGGGCAGGATTGCGGTGGTGGTGGTGGTGGCTGTTTCGCCGCGGCTTTTCTCACGGAACGGTAACGGGAAAATTTCATGGGTGTCGGGTGCTGGCCAGCAACCACTTGATGATCCTGCTTCTCCATCGCCATGGCTGGGAAGACTTCTTTCTTTCTTTTTATTGTAGACAGGGCGGTTTCAGCAGTTCACCACGAGGCTTATAAAGCAAAGCGCATTGGAGGTGCAGACGACAGGGAAAAGTGTAGAAGAATTAAAGAAGGAAAAAAATACAATGGCGTCACCCACCAGTTGGGCAAGCAAAACAGGTTTTATGCTTTTTTAGCCTGGTATTTATTTCTTTTTCTGCCAGGGTGGAGGGGTGCATTCAAAGGATTCTGGAGAAAAGTGCGGTATACGTTATGAGAATCATCCACGAGGTGCAGTAGCGGCACAGCAGTAGTGGGTAAGTCGAAGGGAGCGAAAAAAGAATCAGAACACCAAACAGACGAGTTGCATGCTGGTGATTTGGTGAGAGAGCAGACAAGGGCGAAGGGATTGGAACAAATAATGGGGGGTCGCGTGTCTCCACCCCCTAAAGGTTGCAGACATGTTTCACAGGGATAACAATTGCTTCGTGCAGGTTGGGGGGGGGGAGAGAGATCCCTTGGACTAGTCTGTAGATTGGAGAAAATAGAATAAGAAATAAATAAATAAATAAATAGAAGAGCAAAAGGGAAATCGAAGAATGGGGGAAAGGGGCGGGGATAGAAAGGAAGAGAGGAGAGGATGAGAGAGGAAAGAAGAGAGAGAGAGAAGAATGGAAAGTGAATGAATGAATGATCAACGGCACGATGGAAAGACGATTAATGGACAGGACTGGACTTGTGTCTGTGTGGACTCTAAGAGTGTGGACTGGACTGTGTGGACTGTGGAGGAGGAGACAACCCAAAGGGTCCAGGTGGTTCGAGTGGAGGATCGAATGGGTTTAATTTTAAAACGGTGGGAATACTAGTGACCATCTGGGTTTAGCATGGATCGATTGATTGATTGGCAAATTGAATCCCGAGTAACCATTTTACTAGTAGTATAGTGTATGTACACCCGTACCACACAATACATACTACTAGATACTGCTGATACTTCCATGGAAACCTGCAGCTTCCTTCCACCTGCTACCTGTCGGGCCACCTGCAAGGGGTGTGCAGGGGACTACTGCGATGGAATGCATGCTAGATCCTACTAGTATCGTACGATCCTCCCCCTGAAAACCACCGAATTCTTATTATTTCACACAGGGAAACAAAACAATTCATTGAACGGGAGATTCCGGATTCCGTGGCGGTCGCAGCGAAGCATAAAAATTCCTCCGCCGCTAAAAGTGGCAGTTGATTCCATTTCTGACAGTCTGACAGGCCCCATTCCACCTTCCATTACTCGTCAATCATTGACCGCGCTATAAATATGATTAACCTTTTATTTTACCTCGTCCACATTTCCAGGAACTAGACTAATTTCTTGCCGTGCTCCTCTCCCCTAACCCCCCCCCTTCTTCGGACCAAGTGGGGAGGGAATGCCAGGGGTCTCAACACGCGACGGCTTCAGAAATTAGTCTGATTCAGAAAATCCTAATACTCACACACGTGACTAGAAGATATCCAAAATATATAATATGCATTAGAAGATCATAACCCTTCTTTTCTCTTCGCCGTCCTATACCGAGTGTAGTAAGGATTTCTGTTGGTTTCTTCCATGAGGTCTTCCTCCAGATTTTGATATTTATACGCGAAGGCCAAAAATACCAGAATTGGTATAGAAGATATAACTATGATCCAGTAATAGGACCTACGTGGAAACATACCGGGACAGCCAGCAAACTAGGGGAGGTTTCGCCTTCTGAGGATTAACGACTCGGCAGAGCACCATAGCTGTGCTATATTCGAGGATAATAACTACTGCCACTACATATCAGGAGAACGATCTCTGTTAACCTTAGATGCACCGTAAATATTAATCATTTGTATGTATTAGATAGTATAAATCTTATCACGTGCAAGTATGAGGATCTCTGGACCTAGCTGAGCCATTCTTAACTCCAGTCTGACACTGTCGCACGTAATCCTGAGCCTGTTGCATGTGTGACCCTGCCAGCAAGTAATCTTTGTATAGAACATTTGTGGTCAGCGACTTCCTTAGCTATTAGCGTATGGTTTGACTGGGATATTAAGATCTGTTTTCCGACTTCGACTTCCAAGACTGCCCACCTTATCAATGGTAGAACTTTGGTGCTTACTGTACCACGTTGTCCACAGTCAGCAAGGGACTACTTGTAGTGTCTAATTACCCAGATAAGAGATCTTCGATCACATGTCTTCATCTAACCTAACATCTGTACTTTGTTGTGCTATGCTTAGCTATCGCCGTTTTTTCATTACCCTCAATCTAGGGATCTTTAGCAACCGAGATACTATTAACTTTTCAGATGTCCTCATTCCTGTTTTTATCTGAGGACTAGCTGTATCTTTTCAAAGGGCACTGAGAGACCCATGGTTGGAGGCTATCTTCCGGTGAAAGAGAGTATTCTTATTTGTCCGACAAAGGCATCAGTCGTAGCTACCTGGATTTAGCCATCTTCGCGAATACATGATCTCTAACGAAGGATCTTCTATGTTGTATTCGCAACCCAAAGTCAATCTTGGCAGGGTAAGCCTTAAGAGGCTATTAGTGGCTAACCAACACAAAACACGCATTTCAGGCACGAAAAGGATTCGAGTTACCAACGCTAGCGCTGCATACCTGTTCGACAATGAGAAAGACGAGATGTTGAGACATTCGCTGTAGCAAGGCATCACCTGATCCTCCACCATCTCCTGCGCCTGCATCTGACCACCACCTCTGACACCAACCTACAACCATCATATTGGGCTCAAGATAGATTCGAATACACTTTTGACTCTGCGTCTTGAAACAGGATGTCAAGAACATTAGATCACATAATCGGCCTCGATCATCATGTCCCCATTGTTGTTGAAAATCGGATCTTTATATGCCAACGAGCCCTTACCCGGGATCACGAACCGGGCCGAGGTATTAAGATCACTCTCCAGACTTTTCTCAGCATCACCGAATGAGATATTCTGGAATTGTTTGACGAGCTGGTCCTGAAAGTTTTGATATATGGTTTTGACTTCGTCTAGCTTATCAAAGCCTCCAGTCTCACCGTGCCACTTTAGCGGATCTGCCGTCACCTTAAAGGCCTCGGTCAGATCGGAGGGCAAATTGAGAGAAAACTTTAGGCCACCGTCGCTAGTGGCGACGGTGATATTGGTTTGCCAGGTAATTTGAACATGGATGCTGAAAGTTCCCAATCAGATTGAAGAAGTCAGAGTGGAGAAGAGTACACTCACGTGTAGTCGTATTCTGCTACCATGGGGTAGGTTGTGGCTACTGCCTGGCAAACAATGGTGACATCCGTAGTGCCACTCGCCTTGATGTTGCCAGTTCCGGGAACGGTGCTCAATATATTGGAAGTGGTACCTGGACCGCAAGTGTTATGATTCGAATCCCTTCTATTACGGGAACATCAACGAGCACACTTACAATCAATGTTAAGTTTATTCCAGCCTGCGTCGGACTTGTATGTATGCTGATATCCCTGCTCCTCATTTGAGGGAGCCCACTTCCAAGTCAAAGCATCCGTGTCACCTTGCTTCCACGCATAAAAGCTAGCGTCGCTTGAATGGCTCGGGTCTCCGAGTCCAATGGACCATTGCTCTCCGAATAGGTTCGTATTGCTGGCGCTGGCGACCCAGGCGTAGGTATAAACGTTGAACATATGTAGCAGCTTCGGGGCCGTAGTTCGAAAGAGGTAGCTATCCCAGATGATGTTCCGGTCGATGATAAACGTGCCGTTCATGCCCTTGGAGACGTAATTCCCCGAGTACTCCAAAATCCGGACATCGGGAAAGGGTTTATTGTCGGTCATCTGAAGATAGAGGAGCATGTTGTTCTCACCGACCGACCCAAGACCCTGTCCCGGCTTCGTTTCATTTGGGGCAATATAAGGGTAGGTCTGCAGCTTCAGAGATGTTGGAGGAAAGGATGGCGCCTCCTCGTTCACGGTCTGGGGCTTGTCCGTATGTAACGCATACGCCAGGGTGCGCTTCTTGCGGTCCAGCCACTTACTGTCCTCGCCTACATACCAGTGGCCGAGAATCAGGCCTAGATAGGACTTTTCGTCCTCGGTCAAGTCAACGCCGTTGAAGGTACTATGTTCACGGCTGGGGATTATCAGTAACGAACGCTGACCATGATAAGGGGTATGATCACTGACTCAAAAAAGATGATGTGATCATCTTGAGACAAACGCAACGGTGTCAGTCAGTCAACAGTGAATTGAAGTACTCCTATATATTGTGAGAAATCCGACCTGTTCACTTACTAGTGAAAGCAAAGAACAAGGAACTGATTGAGTAGTCCCCGGGTTGCAGGATTTGTGTTTGAACTTCTTTAAACTCGTCAGAGCTTGGATCAACTACCTCCTTATCAAGAGTACAAGTCCAGGCGATAGTCCAATTGCTTATTTCAACATCTTTGTTTCTATTTCAACCACCCGTACACTGTTAGCCATGCGTCTGGTGTGAACATGTTCGAACTGACCCGATGCCGAAATGAATAGTTCCCGACCCCAAGGTACAGTAGTACATGGAGACGGCATTCTGCTGCCCGGTGACGTCCAGGGAAAGTTGACTACTCTGTAGTGTAGCATTCAGAGTGCCAATACCCTCCATTGAAGCCTCGACCTTAGCTAGTTCCGGATAACTTTCCAACAACTTAGACATGCCATCGTTGATGGCCTTCTGCGAAAGGACTGTGATCTAATATAGGCTGTAAGTATTCCTTCATCAATGCGGACGGCTTATCATGATTGAAGTACCTCATTGAATCGCCCCTTGTCAGTGCTTAAGGAGGATTGCAGACGCTTGCTGACTTCGGTTTCACTCATGATGGTTGGTAAGAGATATTTGCAGGAAGAGAGCTTGAGGATTGAAATGTCGTTGCTAACTACGCAATCAAAAAGGAATATGGCTGCCCTTAATATGGGGAGGCATGCACTACATGAATACCTGACCGGTGAGGGGTGTGAGCAGGGGTCAAGGGCATTTTCGACACAGCAAAAGAATCTCCCGCGCTTTTGAACAGGGCTGTCCCCTCACCCCGTCGAAGCACAATAACGTCAACTGTGCACACAGTATGTCCAATGAATTCGAATGATACTGCCGTCTAGCATTACAGGAATAATCCCAGTATGAGGCATTTTCTGCTGCTTGAAGGTAGCCATTGCGACCGAGCGGGGTATGCATATATTTGAGTCACCCTGTCCGCTTAGGAGTCTTCAATATATTGCTTCGGCCCACTTGCACACATGCTGTTCTGACATGATTCGTGACACGTTGTGGCTATTCTGAGATATACATCCCTGTCCATGCGTATAAAGCAGGAGATTAGTTTTCCTGCTTCATAGTTGCGGTCTCTCAAACCCCCAGCTTCTCGAGCACCAGAGGCAGTCATGTCCAATTCATACGAGCCCCAGCCGGCTTGCCCGGCCGATTGGCAGAAGCAGTATGCTCTCTCCGACGTGGTGTTGGCAGTACCGGTAAAGGAAGATGCTGGGATGAAAGACAGGGTGAGTCTTCACAATGAGACTCTATCTATGGTGTAAATAGTGTTAATGAGCAAGGTCCTGCGTGGGCAATAGGACACTGGCTATCGACGAGACGTGTACATGACCTCGACTGATTTTGTGAAGTCTCTGACCCACAACCCAATGTATATTTACACAGATGTTCTTGCATTTGATTCCGCAGAAACTACCCTTTCGTCCACGACGGACAGTATGTTTGTCCTGGCTGCGCGGGTCCTAACTGCCGACACCCCTGTGACTTTGAAAATCCAGCCTGCTCCGTACACAGGCTGTGTGCTCCGGATTTATGCCTCTATCTTGGACCAGCCAGTGACGGTGCAGTGTCCCGATGCGTCGCAGAGTGTCCGCCTGCAGCTGGGTTCGGGGACGGATCACGTTGGGGCGGTGGTCACCGTCCAGACGGACAGCATTAGTGTCGCGTACTACCAGCAGTATTTCGACCTCCCGGATGAGGTTTTCGAGGCCTCGCTAGCGACACAGTTACGAATTGCACAAGCGCTATTCTGGCAGGAGCCTTCCATTGCCATGTCCTTGTGTGCGCATGTGGCCACCGCAACGGCCCGTCCCGCGCTTTACCCGGCGCTTAACACGCAGGCAGTGTCCCTGGGCCAGCAATTAGCTGCCCAGGCCATGACCGGTCCTGACACCTCGTATGCCCCTGCCTTGACTATTAGCCAGTACCGGCAAACTGTCGAGGATGCCATCGATGCTCTGGATGCGTTCCAGACACAGTATGAACGGTTTCAAGATCAGGAAGCTAGTGTCGAGGATCACAAGGCCGCTTGGTCCACTATGCTTCAACAAGCCATCAATCAACAAGCCTTGCGTGAGCAGGCTCGGGATCTCGCTTCCGAAAAATACTCTGATGCCTGTGCCACTCGAGACAGCTGCCATGATCTAGTCACAGCGGGTCGCCACGAGTTGGATGCCGCCCAGCAAGCGTTCGAGGAAGGCCTGCTAGCCTGGGAAGAGCAAGCGGTGTTCATTGGAGTGTACGGCCTTTTGACTGGAATATTGACATTTGGCGAGCAGCTGTACCGTATTTCGGCCGCCTCCGCTCTAGACGATGTGCTGAAAGCAATAAAGGGTGCAGCAGATATTATCGATCAAGTCAAACAGGCAGAGAAAAACACCGCTGCACAAGATCGACACATCTCGTCGGATACTTTGCAACAGCTCACGGAGTGCATGGGCCCTCTGGAAACTCTATATTTCTCCATGGTCACAGTCGCCGCGGCGGTTAAGGAACTGGAGACTGACCCAAACGCGGCAATCCCATCCGTGGACGATATCTCCGGCACCAGCCAAGGAGACGCCGATGCGAGACTGATCCTCACCTTAGCTGCATGGGATACTTGGACCGTGAATTCTGTTGCGCAGCTGGACTTCGCGGTCGCTCATGCTATCCGGGGCGCTGCCGCTTATCGGTTGGCTATTCAGAAATACAGCATCAATGGGAAGGCCCTGGCTCAGGCGGATGCTCAAGCCACCAAAGCAGGACAGGAATATGTGCTAGCAGAAATGGAAGTCATCACCAGTCAGAAGGATATTAAAGAGCTGCAAGAGCTGATCAACAAGTACACCGGTGAAGAAGAGCTGTATGCTACAGCCGAAGCAAAGTTCTACGATTCTTATCTGTTCATGCAAACCTCGGTGGCTATGGAGATGCGCAATATGGCCTGGGCATACAAATACTGGGCCCTGGAGGACAGCCCTTTACTGCTGAATTCCCAAAAGACCACGGCCCAATTTCGCAATGATGTGTATCTCATTGATGACGCGATGAATACCGTCAACTCCAAGTACGACCGTATCCTACAGTGTAAGTCGACAACAACCTTCACCCTCCACCTTCCAGAACACACTGACAAATCTATTCTCAGTACTCACACAAACTGTATCATCCAACGACGTAAGTTATCCCCCCACCTCCAACCCACGGGCTAGCATAACGTTCCTGACCCACCTATACTCTAAAGCTCCCATCCAACTACGGTCCACTAATAATATCCGACCTCCAAAGCGAAACGCACAAAGCCAGTTTCACTCTCACCCCGAGTACCGGTCAAGACAGTGAGCCCAGCTTCGCCAGCATCTTCACAGATGGATCGCACTTTCGCGCGGCCGGCCTAATAGCCTATCTCCGGGGCGCGCGTCCCCGATCAGAGAATCTCCAAAACGGCGTGTACCGCGTCAACATCAATCTCTCGACCTCGGGGCTATATGCCGATATTCAAGATGGAAGGATCTTCCATTTCACTCGTGGGCCGCAGACTGCCCGAGTGTCTTACGACATCGATGCTAACGGAGAAATCGGGGAAGTCCATATAGATGGATCGTTCGGGGACGAGGTCCATGCGTATCCCACTGTCTTTACTCAGTGGAAGATCCAGTTGTTGGATGGTGACGAGTTGGATTTGAGTCAGCTTACGGGTGTGGATTTGGCGTGGAGGGTTTATGCGAGGTTTGATTAGGGGGATGATCGGTCAGGACTGGAAGGAGTTATTTACAGTAAAGGTGAAGCTTTGTTGAGTAGAGTTATCGTTTTAAGAAATCAAGTGAGCCGTATGTGGAAGTGAGATTGGAGAATAACAGGAAGTTTGACCAGAATATAAAGCCAGAAGATGGCGCTTTGTACAGTATTGATTTTTGGATACGATGGACGGCATGAAGAGTGACCTCCGGGCTAAGTATGGCCTTTTATTCCTCACGGTTGAGGACTCTGTTGATAGAACTTCTCTTCACGCTCCCTGCGCCTGTATTCAGGCACCGAACCAAGCTAACCGATGCTCAAAAAGGACTGGGCGTGCGGTCTCCTGATTGAATAGAAATTTAGCCTAGACTCAGTAATGCAGACGAGGGGCTTACTTCGCACATCCTCCAAAGATTTCCCCTTCTCACAACGGAGCAACCAGGATCTCTTGCCACTCAATTTGCTTCCAGCATTTAAGTAGTCATCTGGGTCAAGACTGTACTGTGACCCGAAGAGATGGCCGCTAGCCCAGTCTTCTTTTTCATTGACGAAGACATGTTCAAGCGCATAGCCACTATCCTCTGACTTGTTATCATTCAACACCCCGAGTTTCGCTACGAAGTCATTTTCGTTCGCAAAATGCTCAGTGCGAAGAACGTGCGAGCTGAGGTTTGTAAAATCGTCCAATTGCTGGTCGTCAAGGTTTAGTTGTTCAATATGTTGTTCACCCAATTCCCATTTCCAGTCGACGCTGGGGTTGCCGAAAGTGAAGATGCAAAGGTGTTTCTTCATTCTTTCAGGAATCTCGGTATCGTTGACTGAATCATTCAATATCTGTTCCAATGCTAGGCGTAAAAGTAGACAGCCCTGGGAATGAGCTATCATCACGACATGCTTGGGCTCTGGATTGGCGTTCAAGGCTGACTTCAATTCCTTTACCAATGACTTCTGTGCCATCCTGCTGCTCTTTGTTCTTTTGATAAGTTTCTTCTGTTCTTTTGCGGTGCCATTTTTCTGGGCGGTCCTTTCGCCTGCACATTCAACCAAGTCCCAAAGAAGGCCATCACCCCTATTGAAAACTCCTCTTATATCTCTTGAATATTGCGTTGCTAGTTTCTTGCAAGCGAGATGCAACCAGAAAAGCTCTCCGCCTATACCATTGACATACAACCACTTCTCATTTATTGATATCTCCTTTAAGGAGTTTTCCACAGTGATGTTCGAGTCGACGGATTTGACGTCGCTTCCGAGTGTGGTTGCATCAGTAATGCCAATGTCTTCCAGCTCGTCAATATTGATAGTTTTGCCCATTCCCCCCACGATGAAGATCAACGATTTGGCGAGCCTCTGAAGTTGACAAATTACAGCGTGCTGATTCATATGTTCTGATGCGTCCAATTCATTATATGCACCACGTGGTGACCCTTTAGCGGTTCCAGTTGGTGGGTCAGCTGGAATATAGTCAGCTGGGACATAGCACTTGGCAGGTTCGATAAGGTCAACCAAAAACCTCGCCAAATCGCCACCATTGTTCCAGATGGCTCCCAGGGTTGCCGAGGTGACATCGTTGCTGATTATGCCTTCGTGTATGATCCGAAGTGCTCCCACCTTGGCAATTATTGCCTTCACAGTCACTGTTGTGAGCTCCTTCACAATTTTAAGAAGTGATTCTGGATCGATCTTGTCCAACATGGACTTGATCAATTTGAATAAGGATTTGGTCGCTTCTTGAAGCAGGCTGCCCACGGGTTCTGCGTTTATCTGCTCGGTTATCCTGACAAGAAGCTTTGTCAAAGTCTCCAGAAGAAGTTCTGGGCTTATCAGCTTCTGAGAGCGTCTTAACACTGCGTCAATAAGTCCACGAACCGAATGTCCGCTAGCCTTTTGGAAAATACGCGTCGCGGATTCGATGATGCTGTCCGCATGACCAATACTGTCTACCACAAACGTAGACGCAGATGTAGCAGCATACCCCAGCCCCCCAAGAACGTCACTTAAGAGATTCATCATCAATGTTATAGCTGTCCTCAACAACAGGCAGAGGGTGGGAAGAGCTGTTGAATATTCTTCGACTCAGGGAGAGAGGAATGTAGGAAGAACCCACACCCGCTGACCCATCCTGTTTTTCTATGCAGCATATTAGGATTAGGCATAGTCGAGCGTTTGTTCTTTTAGTGCCATAGTTCAATTGGTGTAACTTTAAAGAGCTAGTTTGGGGTGAATTTCAAAGTCAAGTCCAGTCACAGGGACATGGATCCACATCAGACCTTACTGCTTGTGATAGTATCCAGCATTTAGCTTTACGCCGTATGCATCATGCCAAGATCTAGACCCTTCGCTTTTATTGGTTCCGGATCTGCTTTCGAGGTAGATTAAATAGTGCCTTCTAGGGTGATTTTCTTCGCTCGGAGAGTTCAACACATTCGGTATTCAACATGACTTGCTGCCCAGGAAGTCGCTTTTCAAGGCTATAGCCGGCAAGTTAGCATGCAAGGACATGCACATCCCAGACTCAATTAGTAGGAAGGGTGATGTCAAGTGATGATCAACCCTACCTTGGGCCATTCGAAGCTTAAAATCTGGGGAATGGGTTTAAGCTTATAACCCCCGCCCGGATGATGGATACTCAAGCCGAATGCGGCGATTATACGCAATGTTTGAAGTTGAGGGGCTGGACTGAATACGAACAAAGTTAGATTGCCATCCTACTCAGTCTTAGAGGCTACCCTTTTGACATAATGGATACGACTCCTAAATACGAAGTCGGATCCTAGGCATTGCATCCACTTTGCCAGAAAGACTCTCTGACCGTGTTCATGGTCTTCATCAGACGTTCTTAAGAGTTGGCCTGCTCAAGTAGTTAGAATAAGGTTATACGGCCTCGTGAAATATATCCAATGCGTCAGGAAGAGCCATGGATGTCGGAATGAATATAGAAGATAAAGAACAGTCTAGATGTAGCACGATACATCTTTTCGAGTTACTAGTTTATCCATAACGGTCAGTTAATCAAAGGCGTCTCGACTCATAGATCGTGCTTGGTCACCTCGGTTCGGGTGGCATATTAATAAAAGAAAGCATATATTTGAGCTAGAAGAATGTAAATCGTTGATTTATTTCATCGCGAAGCTAGTTCGGGAGAAGATGAAGCAAAGTGGCTCGCGAAGAGCAGAAGATGCGGACGACAGAGACCCTGTTTAGGAAGGTGCGGGTAAAGCCCGCACCAGATCTTGAGATGTCCAACGGGAACAGCATCCACACACCATCTCCTGACAGTCAACCGAGCCCATACAGTGGTTTCAGTGAGCTAGCCAACGAGTATCGAGAATATGTCCAGAGACTCGCAGGCCAGTGGCCTGGATTATCCTATCTCGACGCTTATCTGCAGGATCCTCAATATCTCCAGAGGGAAACTTTCGGAATTGTGCTCGTTAAGCCGGGGAACATATCTCCCGTGCAGCGTGACTTGGAACTAGAAGAAGTTCTGCCCCAATTGGATGACGGTTCAAGTCCGATACTCATAGTTTTGGAAGACCCCACTCCCAGAATGATTGCAGAGCTCGGAGGGCAACTGCGAATTGATCCTCAGTTTTGGGCAGACTTTTTGGTCGGTCCGTCGTGGTTTGGGTCAGGAAAGGTAGATATCGGACCCGGTGAACCAAGTGTCCAATATAGAGATGACAGTCTGCTAGAGCAGCTTTGGCCGCTACCAAGGCCTGCGAGGCAGCAAGAACATTTTTGCTTTCGTTTCGTTGCCCACAGAGAGCCAACACCAGCTAGCTCTGAGATTAGTGTTGGCCCAAGTATGAATGGCTATAGTTCACTATCAACGACCTATCCCATTTGTGGTGATGCCAAACCTGGGCCTCCAGTTTGCGCCAACTCGATCGGTCTACGCAACAATCTCACTGTATGGGAAAACCAGCATGCGCGTAAGAGGGCCAGCGGTGAAACGGAAACTCCATCACGGGGTATACCGTGGATAGGTGAGTGGCATACAGCTGCAAGATTTGTCTGCAGGAAGTAGTAACACTCAACAGGCGTCATTGTGGCGAAAAACCAAAGTAGCAGGATACCAGTCTGCGAGCCAGGTTTCTCATATGTCTTCCGAGAGTTCCTTCCAAGGCCACGGTTTGTTGAACGCTTCGTTATGGATAATCTGGAAACCTCAAAAGAATGGGAAGGACGGCCTCAACGAGCTCCAAAATCCAATTATTCCATTAAGGAGATCCTCTGGTACCACCTCATCTGCCATCTTGAGAAAGATGATTTTCGTAACGCCGCATTGACATCACCGAGTCTTCTATTTGTCGATGTACTTCAACTGATCGGTTGCTTCTGGGTGGCTGAGATCGAATCTAAACACTTGCAATTGTCCTGGATGGAGGTGTATTATCAGAAGGAGGTTATTATACGGAGACGGAAGTTTCCCTCCCTCCTGGATCCCTTATATCCAGATCCAAATGGCAGTCTCTCTGCAAGGCTCCAAGCAGACCTGATAGGATTACACAGTGATCTGATTAAAATTGAGCCGTACGAACAATTTATACACGAAGCTGAAGAGTATTGCAAAGCTCGAGAGCAGCTCACCGGTCTGCCAGATTACTCGGACTTAGCTAACGACTTCGCCTACCTGCAGAAGGCCGTCTGTCGCTTGAATAAACGAGTTAAAAGGATTATGGGCTTTTTGAAGTCAATCGAGGACGACTTTGAGAAATCACGTTCAAGATACCGAAACATGTTGCTACTGATTCTGGCACTGTGGGCCTGGCTGGTTTCACCAGTTTCGGTGACTGCTTCAATAATGAACTTAGGGGAGAGCAGAGAAAGCAGTGCCGTCAAAGTTGGGGATATTCAAGTATTCTGGAAGGTTGTGGTTCCTCTTGGAGTTGGGGTGATTTTAATTGTTGTATCTTTGCTTTGGATCACAGAATTTTTCACTTTGAAGGCGACGCGAAAGGCAAGTCGTTCTAGGAGGTACCGTTGATGTTGTTTCGTAGG